TTAGCATGATGCTATGCTAGTGTAGCATCATGCAGTTAGCATGATGCATGATGCTACGCTAGTGTAGCATCATGCATCATGCAGTTAGCATGATGCTATGCTAGTGTAGCATCATGCAGTTAGCATGATGCATGATGCTACGCTAGTGTAGCATCATGCATCATGCAGTTAGCATGATGCTATGCTAGTGTAGCATCATGCATCATGCAGTTAGCATGATGCTACGCTAGTGTAGCATCATGCATCATGCAGTTAGCATGATGCGTAGCATCTCAGGTTGAACTCAGGATTATACTGGTCAGGTGTTTGCAGCTCTTCCTTAATGTTGCTATGCAAATTTCTGAGTTTGAATTATTGACTCCAAACTATTGATTATTGAAAAATGACTTAACTCTGCAGTTTGTTTTAATATATTTAACATGTAGTATTCATTTTCCACTATAATTTCTGTTTTTAATATGAATATAACATGAATTTACCAGCAGATGTAAAAATACAGAAATAATCAGTTCGGATTAACAGAAATGTGAATAAATTAAACTTTAAATTACAGTAAAAAAAATCCGTTTAAGAGTCGATGGAAACGTTGGCAGAGTCGAAATGTTTCTGTGGCCGCGGCTCTCCAGTGTCCTGGCTCCTGATTGGACGGAGCGGCTGCTCGGTTTGTCTCAGTGAAGCTGGTGTCACGTGGTTTCCATGGAAATGGTGATGCAGAGGGCCAAAGTGAACATCCGATCAGGTCAGAGGTCAGCATCGGGATCATCAGCGCCCCCTGTGGTGAAGCCGTTGTTAGGATCACTGAACAGATCTGGTTTGTGCGTTCAGCATCCTGAGGCGAGGGGCGCTTCATCAGCACAGACCGAGTGCCTGAAGGACTGAGACTGTCTACTCACCGCTACAGTTAACGCTCTCCGTCACTTACCTGTTGGTTGCCATGGTTACAGGAGGTTAGCGACAGGAGCTGGAGGTGAGATGAACAAGAACCTCTGGTTCTGCTGAAACCCACCAGACTGGATCAGAGATGTAGATGAGTCCAGATCTCGGATCAGATCTAGGATCCAGCTGATTCAGGGAGCTGCCGGTTGTTTGGACCGGTTCTGGTCCTGGGGGACGGAGCGCTGCGCCTCCTGGAGCTGCGCCGTCAGCAGCGCCTCGTTAATCACTTCATCTCTTCATCGTTAGCTCCCCCCTCCCCCGGGGAGCGGCGATGCAGAAACACACGGCTCAGAGTGTGAGGAAGAGGAGGCAGAGGAGGAAGAACAAGGAGGCCCGGCTGCTTGAGCAACCCACCGCCACCCCTCACCCACTTCCTGTAAGCTCTGATTGGCCCAGGAAGTGGGGGAAAGGTCAGGGGGGGGCAGCCTCCTCTGAGCCGAGGCTCTGATTGAGGCGTGCAGCCGGGGTCAAGAGGTCAAATCCCAGCAGGGTTGGTCAATAGGTGGAGCGAGAGCCAACAGGATGAAGACTGCTGCTGGGCCGTCTCAGTCACTACTGGAACCAGTGGAGTGACAAACTGGACCAGTGGAGTGACAAACTGGACCAGTGGAGTGATGTCCGTCATGGAAGAACTGAAGTTATCTTTGGACCTAAAGAGGAATGATCTAGAGCTATAGATTTAGAGTCAGCTTCAGTTGTTCCAGCTGTAAACTAGAGATCAGGCTGACCTCTGACCTCTGACCTGACCCTCCAGAGCCACATAAAGCCGGTTCCAAAGTGGGCCTTCTAGCAGCTGCAGAGCATTTCCAGGACCAGAGGATTAAAGTGTCAGACCAGAGAAACTCATGTTTTCATTAAAGATCTGCTGCTGCTGGATCAACCTTCAAACCTCTCAGGTTCTGGTTCTGGTTCTGGTTCAGCATCCAGACCCAGTTTTGTCTCATCTTTTTGCATTTGCTGAGACAAAACGTGACGTTTATTGTTTCTTAATTGGTGACTTTATGATGTTTCTGTGGAACGTTGAATTGCCCTGTTGCTGAAATGTTTTTCACTAATAAACTGGACTGCAGAGCACAATGGCCTAGTCAAAGTCCTGAGTTGATGCTGTGGTTCAGAGTGAAGAGTTGGACAGTTAAAGTCTTTCTGAGCCGTTTCTGGTTTTCGGATACATCTGAACATTAAACACAAAAGACAGAAAAGACAAAATATTTTTCAGAGTTTCTGTTTCTAACTTCATAATAATCCCAGTTGTGACGGGATGATCTGCTGCTGGACCGCACTGACCCGCTGCAGAACATCAGGGCCGGGTTCGAGGTCACCCCGGGGTCAGGAGGTCGCCGTCTGTCCATCACTCGTCTTGCGTAAGTCCAGGACCCCCGTCTCATCCGTCCCGCTGTGAGGACGTCCGTCTTCCCTCTGGAAGTCGGGCCAGAGGTTGAGAAACAGCAGCTGGGAGGTTCTGGAGGTTCTGCTGATCCGAGGGAGAAAGAGCCGAGTCAGCAGGACAGGGGCCGGGGGGCTGAAACCTGAGACTGGAGATGGACGGATGAATTTACCTCCAGTGCTTCATCAGCCTGGCGGGCTGCCAGCCTCCAGTTGCTCCTCAGGCTGAGCTTCGTTCAGGTTTTATCCAGAAACAGCAACAGGAAAACGTCAGTATGTGAAGACAGCCTGGGGTCAGAGGTCATTCACCTGAACTCTAACCACTTCCTGCCTCATGCTAACAACTTCAGCTAATAAAGTCAATAAAGGATCAAAACATTTGGACACTTTAGGATGAAACAACTGAAGTGCAGATAATCCAAATTTATTTTAACTGTAATTTTTTCCTTTTTTAAGAAACTTTTAATTTTCTGTGTAGATTTTGTTAATAATGCATTTTAGTCATTTTAAACTTTAAACATCTTTTAGCTCAAAGACACTTTGAGCTGGACGACCGACCACCAGCAGGTGAAAAGTAAGTACAACATGTCCAGGTTCTGACTCCAGAAAACACCCAGCTGATCTAGACTGGCGTTATTTATAGAAGAGAGAAAAGATGAAGAAAGTAAGTACACCCTGATGTCCGACAGGTTTGCTGGAGGCTGAACCAGAACCAGTGATCTAACTGGGTTAACTGGGATCTTCTGACTGGTTGGAGAGATCTCACCTGTGAGGTCAAAGGTCAGTGAAGTCCAACATGCCGTCCTCTGACTGCTCCTCCCAGATGAAACTGCACTCTACGCAGTCTGGGTCTAGTTAGAGCTGTTACCATGGCAACGGCCTGCTAGAAGCCTTGTGGGCGTGACCTGATGTGACAGAATGATCAATGGATCGATAAGAGAGCGAGATAATCAACCACAGACTCTGTGTGTGTGTGTGTGTGTGTGTGTTTCGGCGTCTTTCATCACGTGTCTTACGCAACCCCGCTGCAAGCCGTGGAACCGGAGGAGCCGTGGAGCGCTGCTGCCCCCTGCTGGCGCTGAAATGAACTGCACCGGGTGATCGGGCTGACTGACCGACAGACTGACTCTATGGAGGACCAAAACTGACCTAAGAAATAAAAGCATAAATATATATTTAGTTTTTCCTTTTCCTTACACATGAGTTTCTATCAAGTAATGTATATATTTTCTGAAGTTATTATTTTTGGACCTAAAGAGGAAGAGTCTAGAGTTATAGATCTATAACAATTTCACACTGATTTTGACTCAATAGATCACATGACCTAGAAGCTATTGAAGAGAAATACTAAATTTAAACATAAAAAATAGGTAACAAAAATAAAAATTTAGTTAGAATAAAAAAGACATGTGCCTCATATATACATTTTAGTACAAAATTTACTGATTTCTAGTCAGTGTGGCACAATATGGAAGCTACTGAAGACAACATTAACATTAAAGTTATTTAAAATAAACCGTTTTACGAAACAAACTGGATTCACT